GGGAGGAAGGAAGGAAGGAAGGAAGGAAGGAAGGAAGGAAGGAAGGAAGGAAGAAAGAAAGAAAGAAAGAAAGCAAGCAAGCAAGCAAGCAAGCAAGCGTTTAGTGCAAGGGAATACTACTAAGCTAAAAAGAACAATCATCTGTCATCTGATAAAAAAAATGGTGAATCTGGAAGATAAAATCAGTGAACTAAGGCTATGAAAGACAAACACTGTGGATTCCCACTCAAATACACTGAGAACCCTCTCTCTTTACTGGAAGCTAAAAACTCAGCAACATGAAAGTAGAGAGAGTAAGTGTAAATACTAGAAGGTGCATAGGAGGATTGGGGAAGGGGTTTGGGAGAAAATGATTACAGACACAAAAATGCATATAAAAGAGTGGAACAATTTATGGAATGGTGCTCTACAACAGAGTAAAAATGTTGTTGATGATTCAATATGTACTTCCAAAGGGGGGGAAGGCAAAAAGAACAAATGATAAAGGTACAGAACATAATGTAATGTCAAATGTTGAAAATGTTCTATATATTTATGTCCTTGATTTGATTATTATACATTATATACATGCTTTTATAAAAAAAAAAAAACAATGTACCCCACAAAGACATACAGAGACTACATGTAAATCTGAAACTACAATTAAGAAATAAAAACTTGTGATGTTTTTTAGCATGTTAACACTTTTGTTCTTGACAGAAGGAAGAATAAAAATACAAAGACAAACATCAGCATATCAGGAAAGATGACACTCTGAATAAGCACGTCAGTGAATCATCTGAAAAACACAAACCCGGAACAGATATGAAATAATCCCTCATTTCTAAAATTGAAAATATTTTCTCAGATTTCATTTTTTACAATTAAGGAGCTTTCAGGGATAAATATTCCAAAAAGAATTCGTGTCCACTTTTCCTATTAAGGTTACATTAATGATAATTTGATTAAATACGAATAATGTTAAAATCTTATTGATTTTATTGGTCGTGATTCTAATCAATAAAGTCATCCCCCAGAGGTGTGTGTGTGTGTCCATGTATTTCCTTAAATGTGGTTCTATGAACTCAATTGTGAATAGTTTCAAAGGAATACAATTCACAGAAATTAAATAATTTTGTTCTGATAAAATTAGTTTTAATATTTTTATACATAAAGTGCACTAAAAGTAATTATTCCATTTGGTAGGCAATATACTATCCTCTTGGAAAATTTTATCAGACTTTATTCTGAGGAAAAGTTTCCCTTGACTCTAGTGATTCTTGGGATTTGTGAACATTTCTGAAAACTGGATTAAAGTGACAAAACGCTATACAAAAATGCACAATATGGCTGGATAACAGGCACGTGTGCTTGTGCTTACACGGAAACACACACACACACTTTTGGAAGATTCCAAGGCCTTCTTGTAAAGTTCATTCATAAATCCCATGGGCCCATGAACTGTAGTTTAAGAACCTGTTCCATTTCTCAAGACACATCACAATACAGAAAAGGTTTTAGACCCAAATAGTTTTGTACTATGTAATCTAAAATGGCTTTTTGTATGGTTGGTATTTTATAATGTCTTAAGGAAATGGTGTTATAAGTAAGGGTTAATTCTATCCTGAAATAAAATCTAGATTAATCACAGATTTTTAAATTTAAAAAAAAATGAAACTACGAGCCAATTAAAATAAAATGTGAAAGATTTTTTCAAAAGATCTGTGTAGAGAAGACTTTTCAGGACATAAAATGTAGAAGCTATAAAATAATTCTGCACAACAAAAATACTGTTAGTCAAAATAGATATGACAAAGTGACTTGGCAATCCTTCTTGAAATGTCTATTTTTTAAAAATTAAGACTTTATTTTTTAGATAAGTTCTAGGCTTACAGAAAAATTGAGCAGAAAGTAGATTTCCAGAGAATGTATACTTCTCTGCTCTTACTTTCCCCATTGTTCACATCAGCAATGATGTGGTACATTTGTTGTTATTGATGAACAAATATTGAAACATTAACTGAAGCTCATAGTTTACGTGAGGGCTATTCTGTGTTGTGCAATTCTTCGGGTTTTGCCAAATGCTTTATGTCATGTATCCACCATTACTGTATCACACGAATAGTTCATTTCTCGAAAATCCCCTCCATACCACCTTTGCATCCTCTTCTCCTCTCTCCCCCTGCCAACCATTTATCTTTTTACTGTCTCTAGAGTTTGCCTTTTTCATAATGTCCTATAGTTGGAATCAAAGTACAAAACCTTTTCAGATTGGCTTCTTTCTCATAGCAATATACATTTAAGGACCCTCCATGTATCTTCATGGTTGATATCTCAGTTCTTCTTAATGGATGAATAATAGTCCATTGTATTGTCATACCACAATCTGTTTAATCTATTCACCTACTGAAGAACAGCTAGTTGCTTCCCAGTTTTGAAGAAAGTTGCTGTAAACATTCACGTGCAGGTTTTTGTGTGGACGTACGTTTTCAGCTCATTTGGGTAAATACCTAGGAGTACAATTGCTAGATCATATGGTCAGACTATTTTAGCTTTGTAAGATACTGCCAAACTGTCTTCGAAAGATGCTGTACCATTTTGCATTCCTGACAGCAATGAATGAGAGTTCTTGTTGCTCCACATTCCTGCCAGAATTTGATGTCAGTGTTTTGGATTTTGGCCATTCTGATAGGTGTGTAGTAGCATCTAGTTTTAATTTGCATTTCTCTAATGACATGATTTTGAGCATCTTTTCATATGCTTATTTGCCATCTGTATATCCTCTTTGGTGAAGTGTCTGTTCTGATCTTTCATGCATTTTTAAACTGGGTTGTTTTCTTGTTGAATTTTAAGAGTTCTTTGTATATTTTGGATACAAGTCCTTTAGCATACAAATGTTTTGCAAATTATTTTTTAGTCTGTGGCTATCTGTTCATGCTCTTTATGACCCTAACATCTTATTTGCCAATTCTATTTCAGAAATTTTACCCTCTAGATATAGTTGGGCACAAATCAGATATAGCTCAAGGACATTTGCGATATCATTATTTGCAAAGGCAAATGAAGCAACGACAACAACAAAAAAATTAAATGACCATTAATGAATAGCTACTTAAATTATGATGCATGTGACAATGGAAAATTAGCTCTTAGAAAGATTGAGGTGTTTCTACATTCTCTGAATTGTTAATAAAAAAAGAACATCAGCAGAGTTGACAAGATTTTGTATTATTTTAATATGCAAATGGAAGTCATTGCCTCTGGAAAGGGGAACTACACAAGTGAAGTGGAAAAAGACTTAATTTCACAGTACACTCTTCTGAATTGCTCAAAAGTTTTACTTATGCATATAGTATTATTTGAAAAAAATTCTAAAGAAGTAAAAATTATCAAGTTAATAATGACATGAAGAAACAACATTGGGGTTCTTATTGTCACCTTACTGTTCTACAGAGAGCTTAAAAAAATAGCTAATTTAAAGGGTAGTTACCCTGGAAAAATAACATTAGTTTGAAATATAAGCTTTGCAGATTTGTTTCTGGAAGTCACTATCTGCCATTGTGTAGCTATAGTTTAAGACTCAGGAAAAAAGTTAATTATCCTGTATTTATCATTTCATTCCCAAATACGCTGTGTTTATTCACTCAAAGTAATATGCTCAGATGTTTATATAAACCATCTGCCTATTTTTCAAGATGAGTAAGAAAAAAAGATAAGCTTTCCAAGATTTTTCTTGCTGGTGAGCAATTCTGTTGTAAGATGGAAAATGAATTATCAAGTAATTATGATAATCTTTAAAATATAATCTTTTCCCCAAAAATGTAAAGACTTTTTAAAAAAACTTAATCCTATACAGAGAAGCCAAAGGAATCATTTTTAGGCAGGATTTGTAACAATGAATCCAAACTAATAGATAACTTGAAGTTTTAACAAATTGGAGCATTTAAAAAATTGCTTGGAATTCAAAATGGTTGATTTCAAAACTTGGCATACATAAGTATATGAGCTCTGTGAACATTTGAAGAATTAGTTCATATCTTTAAAAATATATTAAAAATTTGATACACTTAATTATCATTGTCTAGAGATGGTAGCCCATTTTTGGCTCACTGCTCTAAAATACAGATATCTCTATGGTATCAACACTGGTTTCTTTAAAGGCATGCCTACATTAAGAAGCTCAGAAGAGTACAGAGGGTCACAAGAATCCCAACTGCTCAACAGCTTCTCCCACAGAGTTCTCCGTGGTTCATTTTACACTTCAGGTTAGTTTCCACACTGCCGCTTTCTTTCATAGAGAGTAGAGGTTGACAGTACTTCCTTGTGACATCCACTTTCACACCCAAATTGGTCTTCATAATTCCCATTGTGTGTTCTACAAAGCAACTGGCCTTGTTGGCAGCTCTAAGTGGGAACTACAGGTCTTTCTTTTCTTCCCTGTTCTTTTCTGGCTCACAAGCAACCTCCCACCAAAAGCGAAATCTGTAGAAGAGACTACATCCAAGAGATAATACCATGAAAAAAGTATGAAGAGAAGCCCAGGTGGCCACCTTGCAAATTTCCAATGTGGAAGCTTTCGACCTCTCTGCCCAAGAAACAGCTAAAGTCCTAGTGTAATGAGCTTTACAAACCCTAGGAGCCTCTTTACCTTAACTACATACGCCTCCCTAATACAATCCCTTAACCATCTAGCTAAGGAACTCTTAGAAGCCATTTGACCCCTCTTAAGACCCCCTAAGAGTACAAACAATCTTTCAGAAGATCTGAAATCTTTGATTCTTCTGAGACAAACCCTACGTGTTCTTCTTACATTCAATTGAAGCAGCCATTGCTCTTTGTCATTGCAGGGGCTAAAGAAAAATGAGGGCCAAGAAGCCTCCTGGTTTAGATAAATCTCAGATGCCACCTTTGGAAAAATTGAGGAACTGCCCAAAGAACAACTTTATTCTGAAGGAGCTTTAGAAATGCCCATAAATCAAACCTAAAGCCACTCCATAAGATATCATCACCTAAAAGAAATACAGTAAGGCACCGTAACAATCAATGTCCTATCATTTTCCGAAAGGATGAAAATAAAAAACCATCAAATTATGACCAAACAAAACCAAATAAACATGTCTAAATTTTTTTCTTCCTCAGAAAATACTTCTTGTGTCTTTTCAAAATCTTTTGTCTATATTCACATTACTAAAAGAACTGCCAGTCTGGCCAAGTCTACAATATAATAGTAAACATCAAAGTAAAAGCAAAATATTTAATTAATCTTTACATTTTCTCTATGTGATGTCAAGCACCTGGATATTTTAAAAAACATCTGGACAGTAGAGAAAAAAAAAAAAAAACTCTTAACTTTCATCAGTTTGTTTGGGTTACATAGACATAGTACGCAACTCTTTCCAAGATTTTTATTAGCAAAATATGCTCCAATCAAAATAAATATACAGGAAATCAAATGACCTGCTTCATCCCCCATTCTGTACCACATACGATTTCTGAGCAAAACTTTAACTATCAGGAATACCCAGTAGTTAAGATACATTTGGTTTCTTTCACCATCTGTTTCAAGGAATATTTTGCTTCCTGATTTAAAAAACTAATGCTTTTGATAAGAATTGATTAACTTGGATGCATTAAATAAAACATTTAAGATTTTTCTTGACAATTTCGCTCAAGATCATTTTTTAAAGAATCCATTTACATAAAGTTGTGTCAGATTAAGTCAATCTTGGCTTTGTTACCAAAAAATATGAATTTCAATGACGAAGAATACATATATCACAAGGGGATGTTCTGCTAATCAGACATTTTTAATACCTGCTGTTCAAAATCCCTTCTACATACTGTATTCAATAACCCACAAATATGTTTCTGTAGTAGCCTATTATTAAAATGATACTGAAGTTGCTTTTATCTGCCATAGTGCTTACATGACAATAATTTTGGAGTAAGACAGAATATTGTGGCTTACTTATGTATTGCTCTGTTGATTTTATTCAAGAATGATAAATAGTGATCTCAAATATATGGTTTTTGCAAGTCTCCACATTACTTGATCTTCACCTAATGGAGGTATTCTAGCTTTTGTTTTACTCCTTTTTTTCCCCCTGAAATCTACATATCAAATCCATGCTTCAATTCTTGGCCATTTCAGTTTTATATCTTCATAATACTATTCTAATAAAAGTCTAATTTTGGATTTATGCTGCCTTTAAGAAGAATAAGATTTTCAGCATTGACTTAATTCCCCAATTGGACAGACCTAGTACCAATACAAGATGATCCCAAATGGTAGGAGTCTAGACATTTTGGAGATCATTCTGTTTTATTTATTCACACCTCAGAAAAGATCTACTAGAGATGTAGATGAGAAATGCCAAATATTAGTCAGGCATGATGGATGAGTACCAACACCAAATGTAATGTCCACTGCTCAAGAACCAATGTGTCAATCCATCATTAGGTGTTGCATTTCTCTATTTAAATCTCTGATGGACCAGACCACTCCATCTAGAAGATTCTTTTAGGATGCACATTATATCATAATTATTAAAACTATTTTTTATTCTATCTTTCATCAATTCACATTTTCTGTCTTATATATCTTTATTATTTCCTCCTTGGTTTTTTTTTTTTTTTTTTAACTTGTCAGCTTCAGAATCTATAATCCACTTCAGTTTTTCTTTGGGTTATTTCCAGATTTGGAAAAGTAAGCTATGTCATTAACTTTATAATTTAATAGTTCTACCTAACCTTATCCTGAAACATAAAAGGCCAAGAAATTGGTTCGTATAAAACAAAATCTGGCCCTATAATTTTTCTGACATTATTTATACTGGCAAAGTAAAATTTTAAACACAAAAGTAAACAAACTGAATGAACTAAATGTAATTTTTACTAAGAAATTGGGTTTATAGGTTGAAATATTCAGATTATTTATTAATACTTGCGGAACTCACTTTGTTTTGTGGTGCGGCCACTATATACAGTTATTCTTAGAATGCTATATGGTATTATACAAATGGAAACTTGTATGATTCCTTCTGAAAATGATAGAATCTTTACATAGATATAACAGCAGAGAACAAACCTTAACCAGTACGTCTCTGATTCTACCTTTAATGTTAGAAACATTGTGTTCATACATAAGGCATAGCTTTCTTCAAAGGCATTTTGTTAAAACTAACCAAGCTTAAAAGAACATATCTAATTATAATTACTATTTTAACAACTCACACTTATTGTTTATGATATGCTAGATGTTCTTTTAAGTGTTTTATTTGAACTAAGTAACTTGTCAGCTTCAGAATCTATAATCCACTTCAGTTTTTCTTTGGGTTATTTCCAGATTTGGAAAAGTAAGCTATGTCATTAACTTTATAATTTAATAGTTCTACCTAACCTTATCCTGAAACATAAAAGGCCAAGAAATTGGTTCGTATAAAACAAAATCTGGCCCTATAATTTTTCTGACATTATTTATACTGGCAAAGTAAAATTTTAAACACAAAAGTAAACAAACTGAATGAACTAAATGTAATTTTTACTAAGAAATTGGGTTTATAGGTTGAAATATTCAGATTATTTATTAATACTTGCGGAACTCACTTTGTTTTGTGGTGCGGCCACTATATACAGTTATTCTTAGAATGCTATATGGTATTATACAAATGGAAACTTGTATGATTCCTTCTGAAAATGATAGAATCTTTACATAGATATAACAGCAGAGAACAAACCTTAACCAGTACGTCTCTGATTCTACCTTTAATGTTAGAAACATTGTGTTCATACATAAGGCATAGCTTTCTTCAAAGGCATTTTGTTAAAACTAACCAAGCTTAAAAGAACATATCTAATTATAATTACTATTTTAACAACTCACACTTATTGTTTATGATATGCTAGATGTTCTTTTAAGTGTTTTATTTGAACTAAGTCATTTAATTCTCACAGTCATGTATTGGAATCTGAATCATCTAGTCCTGAAAGAAGACAAAGACAAAATTAATTTATTCACACATCAATATTTTGAAGATGAGAAAATTCAGGTTTAAGAAGACTGAGTATTTTGTTCAAGATTATCTGGCTGTTAGTAGCAGAAGATGAGATATTAGATTAGCCAGTTTACTTATTTTTTCCATACAACAGGTTGTATTTCTTTGAAAAAAAAATTTAATTTTAGCCAAAAAGGATTATCAGAATTGACTGACCTATGATGCTTTATCAGTTAAAATGAAGAACTTTGCTAATCACAAAGATAAAAATGAAATCCGTGGTGTGCATTATACTGAAAATTTTTTAAAATAATTACTTCATGTCTTTTTTTTTTTTAAGGTGGTTTAGACTCAAAGTGGCAGAAAGAAAAAAAAAAAGAGAAATTACAAATTTATACATTTAAACAAAGGAGCATATTACCCGAAGTATCCCTGGGTATGTTGAGTGATAAAAACAGTTCATCAAGCTGTTCTTGAACATTTTTTTCCAGCTTTAAAAAAGAGTTTATGAGCTGTGATAAGAACTGGAGTTCTTCTAAACGGAGAGAGTTTCTTCCTTTCTGTGGACATTCAGGAGTAACTGTGAGAAGAGAAGATCAATACTGTTGTACATTTTCTTTGTTTTCTCAGTAAATACAAAAATGATACACATGATTCCATAAATCATCAAAACTAACAAGATCCCCCATAATTAAACCAAGTATGTTCATTAAAAAATACATATAAAGTCTCCTAAGGAAGTCTTTTCTTCTGGGAAACTAAAGATGAATACTCTGTTTGAATACTTAGATTGATTCTCAAAGTTATAAACAGGAATTTGATTTGATGTTACAAAATCACGTATCTTTTTTTTACAGCCTGGTATGACTTGAACCTAATCATAAGGAAAATCAGACAAATCCAAATTAGGGGACACTCCACAAATTAGCTTTTGTACTTTTCAAAGTGTCACATCAGGAAACATGAAAACTGGGAAAGGTTCACATCTGAAGGGGACATGCCAATTGAAATCAACACATGATCATCATTTTATTTTATTTTGCTATTGGAGTAATTTGGTGAAACCTGAGTAGTCATGCTATTATTGCATGATTGCTAATTTCCTGATTTAGATAACTGAACCACAGTTATGAAAGAGAATCCCCTTGTTTTAGAAATATACACTGAAGTACATAGGTAATTATCTGCAACCTATTCCTGGTTCAGAAAAAAATGTTTTGAGAAGAAAGAGAAAGACAGTGAGAAAACAAAAGCAGAATTGTTGCAAAATATTAACACTTATGGGATTTGGATATGAAGGAAATTTGGGGATCTTTGTCATGTTCCAGCAACCTTTTTATAAGCCTAAAGTTAAAATAAAAATATAAGAGAAAAAAGACTTACATAAAGGATTTAACTCTTCAAGACCTTATATATTGCTCCTATATGGTTAAGAAGCAAATTAACTTAGCTGTTGGATCTAGACCACATAATTCATAAAATGGTGTTTAAAAATAACTTCTGTCTAAATTACTGTGTTATCTATTGCTTGCACGAGAACAACAAAATTTAGAATAAAGAAAGATTTATTTATATTTCCTCTTATAGTTATGGTACTAATCAAGTCAACTGCCATTTTAATATGATAGAAAAACACCTCATACTCTAAGAGCATGGAGAATGATTCATGTATTACATATTCCTAAACAACTTCAATTTGCAGCTTTCATTTTTAGATTGCTATCACCAAATGGCATGCTTGATCAAACTTTCAAGGATTTAAAGAATCATCCTAGGGCCAGCGGGTGGCATGGTGGTTAAGGTGTTGTACTCCCATATGGCCAACCAGAGTTCGAGTCTCAGATCTGGTGGCTTGCTCTCTCACTTTCTCTCTCACTCTTTCTCCTTCTCTTGTCAAATTAATAATAATAATAATAATGAACGTATTTAAAAAGGACCTTTCTTATTAGTGCCACTTTTTCAAATATACATTAACAATTAATCCTCAAGACACTTCTTGTAAGATTGATGAGGCTTGATTATAAACTGGAAAAACCTGTAAATTTTTTACTTTGTAGGCAAAGTAAAGATAAAGTGCCTTTGGAGAGAAAATACTAAGAGTGCGAGAGTTCTATTCAGTGTAGGGTCTCGTGGTTGTTCAGGGTCTGGTGATTCCACATGAAAAGATTACTTTTGTCACATGGATTTAAAAGAAAGGTTTCACAAATGTAGTAATTTTATGGGTAATCCATTTCACTAAAGCGAAACTTTAAAATGTGGGCATCAAACTTGTAGCTATATGATATGGCCTTTCAATAAGTACCAACAATGTCATGATATCTTTGCAAGTAATTTGAGAAAGAGCTGCCTACCAATTTGAACCATGGGATCTAGTCCTGTTCTTAAAAAGTTTAAATTTTTTTAAAAAGAAAAGCTTTTTTTTTAAAAAAAATCTACAAATACCTCCAACACTCTATTTCATCTGGGCTGACATTAGCTCCATATGTACTAAAATCTCTCTCTAAACAGCCCTTTTTACATCTACATTCCTCTGTGGGCATACCAGAGACTATAAGCTTCTATTGCACATATACATATGTATAAGCACATATACAAATGAGGTTTTGCCAGAAAAATATACCCCCAAAATGAAAGGATAATGAATATATCATGTTCTATTTTGTCATTGCTTGATTCTCATTTGCTGTTTGTTTTCTTTTAAGCTTTGCTTTATATGAAGGACTAGTTTAACCTTCAAAATCTGAATGCTTCTTTTGGACCTAAAATGTTTAAAAAGCAAGGACAGCAGGTGGCATGCTGGTTAAGATGCTGGATTCCCACATGGATGACCTCTGTTACAGCCCAGATGGGGAGTGGGGTTGGGAGGCTTGAAAATCACACCAGACATGTGTGCGTGCATGTCCAAAATCCCAGAAGAGAAGAGAATGGAGGAAAAGGGATTGCAGTGTGGCCAACCCCCTGTGTGATTTCTCATTTTCCCTATCTCCTCTCTCTCTCTCTCAGGCTAGCATATGTGCAGTGTCCAAAAACAAAAACGAAGACAAAAACAAAAAACAAACCTAAATAAAAAAAATAAATTTGAAAAAATTTATCAAGCAATTTCTCAAAGACTTTAAAAATCCTTTCTAACTCATTATTAGAAAATGGCACACAATACTTTGACTAGAAATTAAGCATAGTTAAGAAGCCTTTATTCGGCTCAGTTCTCAAGCAGAAGTATTGTGAATGTTTATAAACAGCAGAGAAGCATCCAAGAAAAATCTTTGGGTTGAAACACTATAACCTAAGAGTACTGCCTGTTTAAAATTAGGTAAGGTCTAAGCATGCTACATGAAGAGATCTTACCTTTATGAACTGAATTTAGAAGAACCTCATATTCTAAAACTATAGCAATATTGAAAGGTAAATCCATTTTAATTCTGTTAATCTTTATAACTTAATAATAAAAGAGGACAGAATTATATATATATATATCATCAATTTAATCATTTTTATCACAAAGAAGCAATGATTATGGTAGAGACCTATTAATTAGTTGTCCTTATTTCCTATCTCCGTTAGCTCAGTGCTCTCCCAAGGGATACTGTATGAGTTCTTAATTTATGGGAAAAATAATTCTGTGATAAATTCATTTTGTGAAAGGCCAATTAAAGTAAAATTAAACACAAAGGATGGAAAAGCATTTCCCAAACTTATTTATTTTCCCCACAGTATTTCACAAGACTAGTGTCCTAATCATCATATCTTAGCTGATGATTTCTATCTGCCTAAGCATATCTATTTTTCTCTCCCTTAGACTCTTCACTGTTAACCAGACTAGGAAAGGTCTTATTCCTGCAAAAATTCCCTCTATGTTCTCCTTCACTAAATTAGGCTTTTCCTCTTCTTTCAATATTATTTCTGTTTGCTCCTCTCCTCCAAGTCACCTTTCCAGAGAACTTTATCTGGATAAAATCAATCCATGTCTTCTTCCCACCTAAACCAATCTAGCCTGCTGGTCTCCCTCCTTTTTTTCCTCCTTTTCCTTTCCTCCTTCCTTCCTTTATTCCTTCTTTAAAATGACTGTAGAACTGTCCTGCTCAGACGGACGTGCTTATACACAGGCGACTGTTCTGGTCTGCCACCAACTACTGCTGTAAAATATCGGAAAAATTGACTGTGCTTTGTTATAGAATGAATTCAATGAGTCATAGGAATTGTACATTTCTCCTAAAGTCTAAGAATAGTATAAAGAAAAAAATTAAAGCTCTATTTTAGAGCAAGACTTTAATTTACTCTCAACTAGCAATGAGTAAGTCCGTGTAAATAACTAAACAGTTGAGTATTTTTTGTCCTTCTATATAATTTTACTTAAAACTTTAAAAAATGAAATAAAAAGTTCTCCACTTTGCTATTATTTAGAATATTTAGAACACGATTTAAATTTTTTTTTGAGAGATTTTCACTGTAGGGCGCGTGCGCTCGCCAGACAGACAGAGAGAGACATAGAGACAGAAAGCGAGAAATCACCCCCCAGGGGGGATGGTCACGCCGCAATCCCTTCTCCTCCATTCTCCTCTCGGGATCTTGGGCACGCACGCACACGCGCCCGGCGTGAGTTTTAAGCCACCGGGTCCGGGACACGAACCGCGGTCGACTACGTGGGAGTCCAGCAACATAGCCATTACGCTAACTGCTGGTTCCCACGATTTAAATTTTTGTTCATGATACAGTTATGATGAAAGTTATTTATTTATTTTGGGTTTTTTGCCATAGGGCATGTGGGCTTACTGGAAAAAGACAGAGAGAGGTAAAAAGAGAAATCACCCCCCACAAGAGGCAGTGGCCACACCTCAATTCCTTCTCCAGTTTCCGTTTGGGAATCTGGGCATGCACACATACATGCGCCTGGAGTGATTTTCAAGCCACTGGGTCCAGGACTTGACCCTGTGGTTGGCCATGTGGGAGCTCAGCGGCTGCCACCTGCTGACCCCAAAAGGTACTTTATGCTGCATTCAGGAACTAACGTTTATCCCTCGTAAAAGGCATTTCTTGCAACCAGCCGATGGTGTAATGGTTACATTGCTGGACTCCCACGTGGTTGACCACAGTTCAACTCAGGACCAGTGGCTTAAGACTCACAGCAGGGGCTAGAAAGGGCATGGTAGTTAAGGACGCTGGATTCCCACATGGCCGACTGTGGTTTGAGTCCTGGACCTGGCGGCTTGGTTTCTTGCTTTCCCTTTATCTCTCTGTCTCTCTGAACTTAAAAAATAATGATAATAACAAATGTAATTAAATGAATAAATAATTTGGGGGTGGGGCTTCACACCAGGCACATGTGCATGCATGCCCAAGACCCTGAGAGAATAGAGAATGGATTTGGTGTGGCCATCCTCCCTGGGGGGTTATTTCTTGCTCTCTGTCTCTTTCTCTGTCTCTCTGCCAAGCACACATACCCTATAGCAAAAATCTCTCTAAAAAATAAATAAATAAATAAATAAATAAATAAATAAATAAATAAATAAATGGCACTCAAACTGTTAATCATTTGAAAACAGGTCTGTGATCAAATAAGCTTGGGAAATACTACATACTTAA